AGGTAATCGATATAATATTAGGACCATCTTCCGTACGAGACACACACTTAGGAACTCCCTTATGAAAACTAGACCGAAAAGAGATGCGCAACAGACGGCACAGTGCGTCTATAGCATTCCCTGTGAATGTGGCAGAAGCTACGTTGGCGAAACAGGCAGACCTCTGGCCGTGCGGCTCCGGGAACATAGGCATAACCTAAAAGAAGGTCTTCTAGAAAAATCTAAACTAGCTCAACATGCCTATGAAGAGGGACATAGGGTAGGCTGGGATGAAGCTAAGATTTTGGATATTGAACGCCACATGAGGTATAGGAAATACAAGGAAGCGGCCCATATGGCATGCTCGGCCAAACCAATTAGCCAACCCAGTTTGGACTTTTCTCCCATTTGGATCCCCACTATCAGCAATGAAGTCACCAATTCACATAGAAGATCTGTATGATGTGATATATGTTTTATTTATTTCTATTAAGTTCTAAATTAGATAGACGTGATTTACTCCATTGTTGACGCTGGTTTAACACTATTAATTTTTGTTACTAGTTCTTCTTTCTATTCCATGCCGTGGGGTCATGGACCTGGTTATGAGTTTAGTTTCGTGGCATAAATTTCTACAGATCTATCTATCCTGGTTCCACGCTTGTAAGTGTTTGCTACAATGTGTCATGAATATTTTTCTTATTAGCTCTCATGGACTTAGCCTGGTCTCAGGTGTTTATAATCTTCATGTTTTGCGACAGTGGTTTGTCCAGTGATTGAGGCTAGCTCTTTCTAAGGGACCCAACTGAATAGGTATTTTCCTTCACCTGAGGACGGAAACAGATCTAGTTTCTGAAACGTCGTGTTTTTATTTGTTATCTTAAAAACCCGGACGATGGATAAAGTCCAAAATCCCAACATATCAGTGTGTTATACACCATCGTCAGAATCCTATAGTAACTATTTAGAAAGATGCGTAATACTTTCAACTTCAGAGTAAGGGCATAACTGAGGCCTCGCCATAGCTCAAGCGGTTAGTCGCTGGCTTCCCACAGCGGCGGCCCTGGTTCGATCCCGGGTCTGGTCAAGTGTGATTTGTGGTGGACAAAATGGCGACGGGGCGGGTTTTCTCCAAGTACTTCGGTTTCCCCTGCCAATCTTCATTCCACCAAATTCTCCTTCATCATAATCACCCAGTGCAGGCTAAAATAGGCCAATCAGTGGCCTACGTTCCTAGTGGACCCAGTTGGACTCCAGTAAGGGAATTAAAAAAATAATTGAATAATTGAAGATGGATACAGAAATTACTTCTGAAACGTCTGTGAATTTATATCGTGCTAGACAGTGTCACAGCCCAGAAAGTAGTGATATAGTAAGACAGACCTTCCTACGAAAGTCAGTAATTAATCGTTCCAGACGGAGGAAAAATGATAAATATGAGTGTACACGTATATGATAAAGGCAGAAACGTGCCTGCACACAGTGAAGCATTTTAAATTGTCTCAGCTTTTAGGTGGAGTTTAAAAATGAAATAAAACAAATCCTTTCAGGCAACTATTTGTTATTCAACTTAAATTTTGTCAACATCACATATTCTTCTACATAGAGAGAGGTCCCCCAAAATGTATACACCCTTTAATATAATATATATAATATATCGTATATAACCGGCCCGATGAATTTGCTAATAATTCCGCAGGTGATGCATATAACCGCTCACAATTACGACACGATAATCCCTGGGCCGTGCTGAGTCGAATGGTGTGCGCATGATCCGCAAGTGGCAGCCCTTATGCTGCAAGGTCAAGGACAATGCCGAAACGTGTCTGCAGTGGGCAGGCGACTGTCATGGAGTTCACTGTTGAACAGCGAGTGTTTCTAGTGCCTGCTTGAAAACGGCGGACACTTTCAACACCTGCTCTGATCACGGCACACAATCCAAGATAAGATATGTGTAAATTACTTTAATATCTGTATGGTATATTTTATATTACAGCTCATTTCGTCGGGCCGGTTCTATATGAATCACCCTGTAGGTTATGTACAGACAAGGTGTTTAGTGTGATATTCTCTCAATAGATGGTGCTAGTCACATGAATGCCAGAGCCACCTCATCCAATGTCAGGAGAATCAAAGAAAATGGCACCGGAAATGTTTGCGTAAATTTCTTTATTATCCGTTACTCATTTTCATGTTACCATAACAACGAACTATCTAGCGTTAACCCGTTGCATGAACGGAAGTTATGTAGTAGGCCAAGAACGAGGAAGTCTTTTTCGTTTGTTTCAGTGTATCGTGTCAATTCTGTGAGAATTGACGATAACGTATGTCAGTATATGAAGCCTAATATACTGTATAATGGAGACGATTTACGATTTACCATTTGTGCTTGTTATTTATTGGAGATGACGCTATACATGAGCCTCAGCGCATCATTTTGTGAGCTGCAGGACTGGAGAAGACTAAGAGAGAAAGCAGGGGAAATTAACAGAAAGAAATTCGTGTAACAAGTGAAGAGATTTCCGGTTGGATTCTCAACGTGCGTTACACTACTGTCACGTGTTGGCCCACTGTTATTGCGTTGCCATGGCAGTATCTACTCGAAACACGTTACAATACTAAGAGGCTTACATGAAGGCATGAAGGCTTTTACATTCATTGTTTATACAGAGTGTGCCAGGAGGAAAATTAAATTTTTTGGGAGGTCACACTATCTGTCATTGTAAACAAAGGGGTCCCATGATCTCATTGTTGTCGTGATCTATTTGTCATGATCCTATTATTGTGATATATTTATCATGATCCTATTGTCGTCACTGTCATTGTGCCACTCTTAGGGAGGAAGCGGTGGGCATATAAATGTGCTTAGACTCTAACCCATGCACGTAGCAGCATAATTAACCATTTTCCCAGGGTTGTACCTCCAAAAGAAACATTGTCTTAACCAATTCTTCTGCGACGCCTCATTGGAGAGAGAGAGAGATAGAGGGAATGACAGACAGACGAATGTTTCGCGGTTATATATACATATAGAGAAGGATTATATTTGATAAAATAGCAGAAAGATGATATTTCAGGAACAAATTAAAGTGGTTACCAGTAGTGCTTGAGGCACTATGCTACAAGCCGGAAGGTCGCGGGTTCCAGTCCCGATGAGGTCATTGCATTTTTCAATTGACCTAACCCTTCCAGCCGCACTATGCCCCTGGGGTCGACTCAGCCTCTAACAGAATTGAGTACCAGGAATCTTCCTGGGGGTAAAGGGTGGCCGGGGCCTAAGGCTGACAACCTCAACGCCATCTGTGAGCCGATTGTCTAGATAATGTGAGACCCTCAACGTATCACAACCCTATGGGCCTTCATGGCCTGTTACAGGGATAGCTTTACTTACTTACCAATATTATTATATATGGAGCACAATTATATCAAGGGAATATTTCCCGTGTAATTCCAATATTTTTTGCCTGTAAAACAAACATAGAAAAGGTTTCCTACCCTTGGAAATAAAGAATGACTGTGTGCATTAGCGACTAACCTAGCACGCAAATTAACCTCGGACGAACACAAATACTCGGTTCAGTCATGAAAATACAACGTAACTGAACAGTGAACCAAAACGAAAACGTAGATGAACTGTACTTACTTCAATTTCCAGGATGGAAGGAAAAAGTTGACCACATTCATGCGATCGGAATGAAAGGAGAACATGCAGGTCGCCAGTTGTGCTTCCCCCCTGAGAATCATACCCACCATGCCGGTCCACGACCCATTGCGGGCCCGCGTGCCATAAGTCTCGTCTTCGGGCATGTAAAATTCTGTCCTAGGATCGTAAGAATGCAGCTATAATAATAATAATAATAATAATAACGTGGCTTTTTTTCCCTTGGCACTACAGCTCCAGTTGGCCTAGGCCTACCTCCATGAACTTCTCCGTTCACTTCGGTTTTTCTAGATCTTACACATTCGATAGGACACCTTGGACGGGTGATCAGCTCGCCGCAAGGAAAACGCGCACACACACATACTAAACATCCATGCCCTGAGTGGGATTCGAACCCACTATCCGGGTTTCCAAGCGAGCGAAGACAGTACATGCCTTAGAACGCTCAGCTACCGTGACCGGCAGTGTATAAGAATAATGTATAAGAATTCAATTCGTACCTCACAGGAAACAGATCCGAACCCACGATCCAGGTTTCCAAGCGAGCGAAGACAGTACATGCCTTAGACCGCTCGGCTACCGTGACCGGCAGTGTATAAGAATAATGTATAAGAATTCAATTCGTACCTCACAGGAAACAGATCCGAACCCACGATCCCGGTTTCCAAGCGAGCGAAGACAGTGCATGCCTTAGACCGCTCGGCTACTGTGACCGGCAGTGTATAAGAATAATATATAAGAAATCAGTTCGTACCTCACAGGAAAGAGATCCGAACCCACGATCCCGGTTTCCAAGCGAGCGAAGACAGTGCATGCCTTAGACCGCTCGGCTACCGTGACCGGCAATAACGTGGTTAATGATCATAACTTTTAGACTCATTACAACCGCATACGCACGTGAAATTTGCTCTCTCTTCCAACTGTTTCCATACTTCTGCAATATATCCAGATACTATTTGAAGAGAGTTCGCGTGTCTTGTTCTTGAGACGCTCACAAATGGTGTCTGCTGAAACAAAGTTCTTTAATTTCCACTACAGATTCACGTCTCAGATACATCCTAAATTTCAGCAGTCAATTATTACATTTTATACAGAACTAAATATATAATATAAGATTCTTTTCACGCCAGCATATAAATTGGTCTAGAAGCAAGCTTATACAGAATGTCTCAGGAGGAAAGGTCAATGGTTTATACGATTCCCTTTCCGTATAGAGAACGTCATTCACACGTCCAGAAGCGTCTCCTCCGTCAAAATATGGCAGTGGTTTAAAGGAACTGCATAAACATATCCATGATGGTCTATGTCGTCTGGAATATGACGCAGTGTAATCTAGTAGAACGTTGTGACTTTTGATAAAATTGCAACGTCGGTTTTCCTATCCCTCACTTGGTAGCGTCTTCCAACAGCAGACGTTCCCCTTCCTCTGGGTTCCCGAACTGTCCCTAGCCTCAGCTATCAGCTTCTAACAGCAACAGCTCACAACGACTGAACCGCAGTAGTTCAACTGTTCATTGACCCACTCCTCTCCTCACTGTCCTACAGATAACACCCCCGGCACGGACCCCGTAGAAAATACCGTTCCTCTGTTGTGCAATCGTTGGTTTGCAGTGGCATGTCGCGTTGCATTGTTGCGTGCGCAGCCATCGGCAAGGCCCACGCATCAGACATCCTTCTTCTGTTGCTGTTTGTGGGTCATTATTTAAAAACTGTCGTCGCCTAGCAACGGGTCTGCGTGTATGCAGTTAATCTAACCCACTGACATATTTTTGACGTCTCATTGTTCGTGATCACCGCCGTGAGAAATTCAAATGTCACTTAATTCATTTTGTGATTACGGAAAATACACTTTCGAAAGTTTAGACAATGAACGTACCTGTGGATAAACAGCAGCTTTGATGGTGATACGTTGCTGATTGCCTCTCCTCTTGAAGTAGGAGCTCTATGACCATGTGAAACCTTGACTGTGCGATTCACCTGCAGAGAACCTTCTGGTGCGATATGGTACACCTCTGAGTCTGCCATTGGGCATTGCGCAACGAGGAAATCTCAGATAAAAGGAATATAAACTGTTTCAAAAACATCTCCCACACTCTCTGCTTCAAGGAACATGAGCCATTTGGCCTTGTTCAAATCTACAAGCCTTGTGACCTAGTAATAAAATAGATAGTATTTTAACCAGGTTACCGCTCTGAAAATAAATATCATTCTATTCTGTGAGGAATATCATTGTATCGAACCTGTGTGAGTTTCTGAATCCATGAAAATATCTCGATAAATGAGAAACAGCGGGATATTTCTTCGGCAGAAGCTATCTGTAGCGATAGGTTGGATGTGTTGAGGGATTAACGTTGTCGTTGATATCCCATTATTCATAAAGACAAGGCGTAAGTAAGACTGAATCCCTTTTCCCTGCAATCCTTATTGTAACGAATTATTAGAATTATGCCCTTCTGAATTATTTCGTATTAAGCCATCTTATTTGCCGGTCACGGTAGCCGAGCGGTCTAAGGCATGCACTGTCTTCGCTCGCTCGGAAGCCGGGATCGTGGGTTCGAATCCCACTCAGGGCATGGATGTTTGTGTGCGTTTTTCTGTGTTTGTCTACAGGTAGAGGCCTTGCTGATCACTCGCCCAAGGAGTCCTACCGTATGTTAAAATCTAGTAAACCGAAGTGAAACGGATAGTTTCATGGAGGTAGGCCTAGGCCCAAATTGGGGCTGTAGCGCCACAGGAAAAAGCCATCTTATTTAACACAAATAAATAAAAATATATGAATCGAATTCGGTATTATTGAACTAAATGCAATAATAATCGATACGATAAATCATTATTAAAATCTACAGATACCGGTATAATAAATTGGCTCCAAGTATAATTAGAACGATCAAGTCAAGGAGGATGAGGTGGGCAGGGCATGTAGCACGAATGTGTGAGATGAGGAATGCGTATAGGATATTGGTGGGAAAGCCAGAAGGAAAGAGACCACTGGGAAGACCAAGGCGTATGTGGGTGGACAAAATTAAAATGGATCTTAGAGGGTTAGGATGGGATGGCATGCATTTGATTGACCTGGCTCAGGATAGGGACCAGTGGGAGGCTCTTGTGAACATGGTATTGAACCTTCAGGTTCCATAAAATGCTAGGAAGTTCTTCAGTAGCTGCAGAATTGGCGGCTCCTCCAGAAGGGCTCAGCTCCACGAGTAAGTAAGTAAGTAAGCAATGATGCTGTAGGTTTTTATTCGGGAGGTGTACAATTTCATTTCGGCCGTCACACTGGGTATACTCACTGAGGTTATACGTTGTTTTCCTCTGTTTCTCCAGCTAAATTCCAAGATAGTACCTCGATAAAATCGCGGCCGCTTCCTTCCAAACCCTTTCCAATCCATTATCCTCCAGTGACCCTACCTTTTAACACTTATTTCTAGTATGAGACACTAACAGCGTCGTAAAACAGGCAACAAAAACATATTGCAAAGACTGTGTTCCTCGACATTATCCATCGTTCTGTTTTTATCTCAAAACACAGAGTTTCGAAGACTGGATTATGTCTCCGTTTTGAGATAAGACCTACTCAGTTAGGCCCAGTCGATAGAGCAATTACTAGGTTTCATCTGAAGACGAAGACATAATCCAGTCTCCGAAACGTTGTGTTTTAAATAAAAACAGGACATGGATAATGTCAACAAATATCATATTTGTATTAACCTTTTCTTGCAATTTTGTAAAGTTTCACAGTGACATATTGCTCTTCATCTTCAGGGCAAAAAAGCAACATATGCTTGCAAATGTTGGTGAGCACAGAGCAGAATCTACGATGTCATAACAAAGTAGGTCAAAGGGTCGCGCCATAGCTCAAGCTGTTAGTCGCTGGCTTCCCAACTCGGCTGCCCGGGTTCGATCCCGGGTCTGGTCAAGTGGGATCTGTGGTGGACAAAGTGGCGCTGGGGCAGGTTTTCTTCAAGTACTTCCGTTTACCCTGCCAATCTTCATTCCACCAATTGATCTACAATCACCCTCACCTATCGTCTGGGGCTGGTACAATAGGCCAGAAGTGGCCGCAGTACAAGGGACTTAGTCCTAACCCACTATCAAAAAGAAAAAGTAGGTCAGATTATAAATCTTAACGGACCTGGACTCCTCGAACCTCGGCATGAGAACGGATTTTAAATGTGCGAAAAACTGGAGCATGTTCTTGGCTTAGACTCATGTCCAATGTCAGCTCTGGCATCAGTGGCTTTGCACCTGTGGGTTCTACTACAGTCTGCCTAAAATATCTCTGAAATTACTTCACACTCTGTATAGCATATGCAGTGACATTTCCCTTATAGTTTCTATAGGTCTTGAAAATAGAAATTTCTGATTATGACGTAGAGATCCGTGTCACTATGTGATGATGGCTCGTCCACAAAGATGTTTTAGACAAAATATGTCATTTCGTCAGTTAATTCTGTTAGTTTATTAGTTAATAGGTTAATTAATAAGCACAAATAACACACAAGACAAACATCATGATACCCACCTTGATGGGGTGAGGGGTACAGAATACACAAACATTTCATGTGGTACCAACGCACGACGCCACTCGTAACATGAAGGATAGTCTGAACAGATAAATTACTTGCTCTCGTTAGAGCCACAAACCACAGAAATTTAAATATCCTCATTTAAATCTTTGAAATAAAGTGCGATCTACAGACAGCATGCAACGATAGCGCACTGTGAAGAAAACTAATTCTTCAGTCTGAAATTCCTTTATATGTGTCTTTTACAAGTGTCAGAGTTTGTGATTTATTTGTTTAGATTTATGGCGTGTGAAATACACCTCGTAGCTTTTATATATATTCCATACTTAGGAAATGTGTAGCAATTTGTTACTTATTGAGTAATATACAGAGTGTTTCTGAAGAGCCTGATTTTCTTTCCTTGCAATGATATCGATGTGCAAGAGAAGAAAGTTCTTACCTAACCTATATCATACATGTTTCGCATGAATGTATTGCCTCCACATTCAGGGTCGACGAACAATCCAAGCAAGCAAAGTAATAAGTAGCAAGCAGTGATAAGATTGCGCTCTTTATTTTCTGTTTGCTGTTTATTTGCTTGATTTGCTTTTCGACGCTGACGAGACAGGAAGCATATACCTCCGAAACATCTATAAGTTTCTATTGGAATACAGGATGTCAAATCCCAGAAATTAGTTCTCTTCATTGATACCGATGGCAACCGAAAACTGAACCGATCATCTTTTCCAGTCTTGTTTCTACTTGCTTACTAATTCAAGGTCAGTGAACATATTTTCATGAAATTTGATGTCTGGTATCTTTACTGAGATTTGTCGATACTTTTTTCAATTTTGGTCAAAATCGGCTAACATAACGGACACCTTACATGAGGACGTACAAGCATCCATATGGCCACCTTTACGGTAACCTGCTAAATATATGTAAGAAAAAAACAGTATTATCGGATAAAAGTAATAAAGAAAATTAAACATTTTTATCTCCCGTACATTTTTCCCGTGGTGCACTCGGTAGCGTAGTTGGTTCAGACACTATGCTACAAGCCGGAATGACCTGGGTTCGATTCCTGATGAGGTCATTGGAGTTTTTTAATTTACCTAATCCTTCCAGTCGCACTATGGCCCTGGATTCGACTCAGCCTCTAACAGAAATGAGTACCACGAATCTTCCTAGGGATAAAGGGAGGCCGGCGCGTAAGGCTGACGACCTCACTGCCATCTGTGAGCCGATTGTCTAGAAAATGAGGGAGCCTCGACATCTCACAACCCTATGGGCCTCCACGGCCTGTTACAGGGATAACTTTACCATTTTACACTTTCCTAATAAGTCTTACAATTTTCTAGGTAGTTAAATAGAAGGGAGTGAATGTCCCCGGTTTTCTTACTGTATGCATGTATTTTTTAACTTGGTTTATTTGCAACTGTTGTCTGTATCTACAGTCATTAATCGACAGATGTTATTAATGATCAGAATTTACGACGAAGTTTCGAAATTATTTGAGTGATTTCCTTTAAATTATTTTGTCTCACAATATCCGTATAATAATCATTTTCATCTCTGCCAGCATTATTACAAGACTTAGAATATTAAGTGGGTGTAGCTCAGTTAAGAAGATTTTCCGAAACAAATTGACGTATATTTTGCGTATCTCACAACCACATGACATGATCTAGTGATGGCGCTCTGGAGCTTCATTGGATAGGTACTCTCCGCATGACAACGGCTATCCTGGATAAGACATTCTGTGATATTCTTCAGTCCCTTTATGCAAATTTCGTAATTTTACCTAAAATAAACCACAGCTTCATCTTCCAATTTTCTTAAACATATCATCTATTGATTAACAGTATGAAATTTAAATAATCAAAATGAGAGAAGAAAGATAAGCATATAAAAAGACACAATTATGTTAAGAACATTCTGTATATAATGAGATTTTTGTTATCTCTTGAGCATTTTTTAGTATAGGCCTACTCGACAGATAGAATATTGATCCTTCTGACAACCTTTACCACTTATACACTAAAATATGTTTACTTGACATGTGAATTATTGTGTTCTGTGTTCAGATTCTAATAAAATTTTGTTTCTTATGAAGAGTATTATATTCTGGGATGTGGCATCTTGTAGTCAGATAGAATTTTACCTAAATTTCGGAGAAATTAACTTCGTCCTTCTTCAGGGTAAAATGTAAAAAGCAATCACAATTAGTTTCGTATGTAAATGTGATTCAGATATGGGTAACAGGTGTTATAATTGACATTGCACCGTTCACACTGAATTAAAAAATCACGTAGCTGCAGACTGTAGCCACATGCTCATGCTGGTTCCTCGTTCCCGGATTTATCTACCCTGAAGATGGAGTCGATATATTCCTCCGAAACGTCTGTCCACACAAGATCTATACGGCACCGCATCCCAGAAGACGGCATTATTTACAGTCACCACCGAGAAAACCTCGAACATCATAAAGAAATTTTGCTTAAAATCTAGGGATTATAACTTTATTGTAACTTACGTATTATGTTTAAGAATTTGAGGGTAAACATACATTATAGAGAAGTTTTGTAGAGTACCACTCATAGTCCTTAGAACCCATATACAGTACATATGCCACGACACATACTGAATGAAAACAATTGGCAGAATAAATTACGCCACATAACTCTTCCTTAGTTTAGTTGACAGTGGACAGATGATGGAGCGATAAACAATGTTGGAGAAAACATGCGATGTAATAACCTGTTCGCAATGAGGCATGGCCTAGAACAGAACGATAATCAATACGGTCATATCCGAGGCTTGTTCCTGGGACAGCGTAGTTTAGGATCCATGCACACGAACTCTAATACTTTATGTTCTATTGTTATATATTGTCACGTGCATGAGTATAACCGGTCTTTGTTCGCTCGGAAGCCGGGATCATGGGTTCAAATCCCAAACAAGGCATAGATGTTTGGTATATGTGTGTGTTTATTCTATGTTTGTGTTGTCCTGTTTTTAGGTAGAGGCCTTGAGACGAGATGATAGCTAGTCCAAGTGTCCTACCGTCTATAAAATGATAAAAATGAAAATCAACCTCGACACCATAAGGTATAAGAGTAGTGGAATAAGTATGAGTATGAATGAGGACGGGGTTTGGATTGGTAATTGGATTTATTGCAAACTTATACACACAAAAACAAACAAACAAACAAACAAACCCGGGGCCTGTAGTCCGCAAGCCAACTACACCGCTTGTCGGCAAAGTTAGTGCCAACTTTTGCGGATAGAGGGTGTCATGTGATCGGAGCAACGAATCCTCACGGCCGTTAATCCCGGTTCTCTAGACCGGAGTCGCTATTTCCTTGAAATAGCTCCTCAATTATCCTCACGAGGCTGAGTGAACCCCGTTCCAGACCCACTTCTTCTCAAAAAACCTAGCAACGGGCTGTGTACCAAGCATCTGTTTCCGCGGCAACGTGTTTATCGAGCCGTCACCTAGAACTGGGTCTATACGTCATAATATTCTCTTTTTTGTGTGAGTAATTGTATAAATGATACTGGGCATAATTAGTTGAGTTAAATCTATGGAATAGCAGTATACAAAACGTAGCTTTACAGACAAGTTTCAAAGCAATCCAGTCTCACGTTTTCTACACTCGCAATTCTTCGTAGCACTTCTTAAAGAAAAATTGAAGATATATATTTTAGAGTCTAAGATTGAAAATCTGCGATTAATTTACGTTGATTCTGCACTTTGTTCTGCACTGTGTAAACGTGATCAATGCTACCAACATTTCGGATATGCATTTCCCTCCCAACGGTCCCTGTTAGTCCGGACAGGTCACCAGCCTCCACAACCCTCGGTCAGTTGGGCAAAAATCCTGTACATACACAAACACTAACTCATCATACAAACTTCGACCCTGATAATGGAAGCAGTATGTACTTCCGAAACTTCAGAAAAATTGCCTACGTCCACATAGCTACAAACACCCGAGAATAGAAACAGAATCAAGGGACTCTGATGAGGATTATTGCTTCAGTAATGTCTCTTCTTTAAGCGAACCTTCATAGTCCACCATGTTCGTTCCAGCGTCAGGAGTAGGAAGGACGACAGGACACCTATTCCCAGAATATAATGAAAGATCATAACAGTTTCCAATGTTGTAGCAACCGACGTGTCGTAAGGATTGTCTTCTAAACCATCATACCACGCACTCTGTTTGATTCGCTTCAAAATACCAGTTCGTCTCATCTCTTGAATGCTGGAATATAAAACATGAACACATTTAAATCAATTGCAAAACGAAAGTCATCAACAACAGATCAAGTGTTTTCCCGGGATCTACTTCCGTGTGGTTTAGTGCGGGCTTCGGAGAGTACAAACAAAGAGAACTATACCGACCAAGCGACCGCCGCTAGTCGGCGAAGTTAGTGCCAATTTTAGCTGATAGAGGGTGTCGCGTGGTCAGCGAAACGGATCCCCACGGACGTTAAACTCGGTTTTCTAGACAGGAGCCGCTATTTCCTTGAAATATCCCCTCAATTATCCTCACGAGGCTGAGTGAACCACGTTCCAGACCTACTAATTCTCAGAAAAAAATCTGGTAGCGCCGGCAATCGAACCCGGACCTTTCTTTTCCTTCTAAAATATTTTTTTTTTAGTTTCTTTGCGTGGGGTGAGACTGAGTCCACTTGCTACGTCGTATCTAATTGGTCTATTGTACCAGCACCGGGCAATGGACGAAGATGAATGTGGACTGGTGGGTAGAATAAGAATAAGCAGGGGAAACCGAAGTACTTCGAGAAAACCTGCCCCAGTGCTACTTTGTCCACCACAAATCCCACATCACCTGACCTGAGCTACGGCACGGATCTTACGTTGCCTTTCTCGACACCAAATGCGTACTTTGTGATGTTTGATTACAGATTTGAGGAAACTGCATATTTAAAGTATCCTTGTGTGACTTCAGACACCGCCTCTGTGGTCTAGTGGTCAGAGTTCCTGGCTACAGATCCAGAGGTCCGTGCTCGAGTCCCGACGCTACCACATATTCTGAGAAATAGTGGGTCTGGAACGGGGTCCACTCTGCCTCGTGAGGATAATTGAGGAGCTATTTCAAGGAAATAGCGGCTTCGGTCTAGAAAACCGAGGTTAACGGCCGTGGGGATCCGTTGCGCTGACCACGTGACACCCTCTATCCACTAAAGTTGGCACTAACTTCGCCGACAAGCGGCGGTCGCTCGGTCGGTATAGTTCGCTTCCAGACTAAAGCCAGTGATTTTGTTCTGTCTGTTTTGTGGTACTTCAGATAGCTACTTACTGACTTATCGTCCCAGGATGCCATAAAACTGTTTACTTATATTTCTTTCTACCACTCCAAATAGCTCTCTCCTGATATTTCCTTGTTCGACTCCAAATAGTTACATTCTGGTGTTATATTGTACGACTTGAGATAAATACTTACTGGTGATGAAATAGCACCTTAAATGGGAAGTTCTTGCTGATGATAAGGGACGAAGAGTAGGGAACATAAGCACGAGGAAGTGCTACAATGTTGCAATGTATACTGCTTAAGAAAGCATGTATGGTACTGTGCATCGTTACGGCGTATGCATAATTGCGTAACTGACATGTGTTCCTTAGGCCTTCAATTTCGCTGGTCACAAAAGTCTCCTTATATGGTTTTATAAGCCTCTCGTATATTCCAGTTAACACATGATCTTTCGACATCTGTAAAGCAAGCATGTTATTACATTAGTAATGTTTATGTTTTAATATTGCCGGAGTGAAGTAGGTGTTGCCTTCATAACTGTCGTAAAGACGATATAGTTTCATATAATTTGGAGTTCTTAAAGTAACAAAAGTGAACATGTTTTATTCATGTTATGTGAGCACCTCTTTCAGAGCGAGACTTGGGTATTATTATTATTATTATTATTATGTTGATAGAGTTATTATCATAATTATTAATTGGGTTATTATTATTATTAACTTCTATGTGTGTATGTACATGTACTATCCTTTGTCGTCACAAATGGCATAACTATTGGAAATGTACTTATTTTATTTTTCTCTCCTGTTAAAGCTGACTTCAATTTTTCCTGGAATTGTTACTAATTTGTTGCTATTATATAGACAGTCATATTTTGTATTTTGCTCTATGATTTTTT